ACATGTCATTTTTTCCTCACCGTGTAATTCACTGCGCTTCCAGAATCGCTAAAGCCAGGAGCATCGTCCACATTCTTGTACAATTTACTGATTGTCCTAGGATGGGGCAGACAAGTATCAAAAACTTTCCTGTCGTAATTGTATGCACGAGGCGAGTAAAAGTGCAGAGTTAATGCAAAACTTCTCAACTGTGCAGAGTATTTTGTTGGTAAGGGGTGGTTTTCAATTTTAGCCTTATGTCTTTTTAATAAATCTGGGATTCCACCTGCACAGGCCTCTAAAACATCAATACTGCTACTACTGACAACGGCATTCTTTCTCATGTCAGCTATAACATTCTTCAGTTCGGCATTTCTTCTAGCCTGCAGAAGTGTTTTTATTTTCTTTCGAGAGGAAATAAGTTTGTTCTGACTTTCTTCTAATTTCCGTTTTAGTGAAATTTTCTTCGGAGTGATGACTGTTGGTATTGAAGGGACTGCTGCATGTGGACTAGGTGGAATGTGGAAAATTGGTCGTTCAGTTGGGGGGCGGCGGGGCGTGATATTCCCCTTTAAATAATCTGGAAATGCAGCAAAAACAGACGGAATAGCAGATGGCTAAGACGAACAATGCACTGTGATGTTCTATCAAAGTCTTCTTCTTTACAATGTTCGGAACAAAGAAGTGCGGACTTTGAAGGGGTGAAATTCTGTCGTCTGATTGCTCGTATCCACTGACTTCTCAAGCTCACATCCCTGGAAAACCTGCAAATGAAAATCAATTCGTAAGGCAAAACTTATATTTAATGAAATACAAGGTGTGGATTTTTGCTTGGGAGTTTTGAATGCTCTCATTGGAGAATGGATCTCTTCCAAGAATGCTGTATAAACAGAAAATCAACAATAATTTTCCAAATTTTAATATAATTATTAATATGGTATAACTATAGTGCAGATAGTGTCTTTGACAAAAGTAAGCCATCACTTAACTAGATATGGTAGATTCTAGTAGATATGGTAGATCTAGCCATTCTAGGTCTTGATTTGCGATCTTAAAAGAAATTAAAAGCAACTTACGTATTAAAAGTGATTGAACGTCGTCTATCTTTATCTGGTATATTGGTGCAGCCGTATGCAGAACAAGAGGGCATTATTTACAATAATAATAACTTAAGTAGACATACTGGAAATGAAAGCGTTTGACGTCGTTGTTTTTTGGGTTGACCAAGATGGCGGACGGCAGGGTGACGTGGCGTCACGTTAATGACATCATGCCGTCTCCAGTCAATCTATACTCCTAGGGTACAACGGTCCATCCACGAAAGATGAGGCTCATCAAAAGGCATAATGGCACCGACTATTGTTGGTTTTAGTGGTAAAAAGCCATTGAAATCTAATAAAGGAGCAAATGAAACCAACAAAAGGAACTTTATCGATTTGTTGACAAATCGGTTACATGAGAATGGTATTGAAACAAAAGTGGCTGTAGGTGTTATCACTCAAACGTAACATAAAGTGACCGACTGTTCTTCCGGTCTGAGAGATATAAATGGGATATTGGTACTCTGAGAAACGGACTTGGTGAATAAAATTAATGTGTGAAATCCTACCGTTATTGCATGTGTTAACAGGCTGTGATGCAGTTTCAAGAATGTTTGGAATCGGCAAAGGTATGGTTCTGACAAAGGCTGTAAAATCTGAATATTTCCATAATATATGTAAATTGTTTTTGAAACCAGATTCAACAAAAGCAGAAGTAATGGTGAAAGGGTACTAGTTGCCGTATACGGTTGTCTCAAACACGAAACGCTAAATGAGCTACGGTATCGAAAATTTCGAGAGAAAGTTTCGACAAGCTACTCGCAAGTCACCATTGAATGCTTACCACCGACATCAGATTCAGCCAAGTATCACGTAATGAGAGTATATCACCAGGTCCAATGCTGGAAAGATAATCATCTTAGTTCAAACGAGTGGGGATGGACTTTTCTACATCAAAGATACAAGGTTATCAAGATGAAACTACCACCTGCACCGGTCAGTTTGCTGCAAATAATAAGATGTATAGCTGCAAAGGTGACTCGAAGCGATATTCATGTAAAAGAATGGATTAGACTGTACTGGTGAATGCTCCGAATGTAAGTTTGACCTCACCAATGGTTACTGAACTATGTGAACACTCTGATGATGAGGAATTCGAATTGTAGACAATTTGTAATAATATAATATATAATATATAATATGTCACGTTCTTAATTTGTATGTTACTACAGTTTATAATATCGAAATTAATGCAGTATTTCTCACCATAATATTAATGTTTTACGTATTTTTAAATGCGTTGACGATTCATAATTTAAGCACACATGTATGTGTGAACGTTTTTGCCCATTTTATTAAATGATGACGTCATCATAACGTCACAGTGACGTCACAGACCAATGAATTTGTGATTTTTGAGGTCAGAGGGGTCGGTTTCTTATTTGCACGTAATACGTTATTTTTATTTAGAGTGAGTGCATCGTTTCGGAGATATTGACGATATTATGAATCCATGGCCGCCATTTTGGATTTTAGCTAACCGATCCACCTGGTTTTGTGTATGAGTTCATACACATGTATATATCTTGAGAAACAAAATCTTGCAATTTTTTCTGGGTATACCCCCTTCTCAGGGCCTATCTTTACCCGCCTTAAGAATTAATTGTTTAATACATGTTCCAATTTTAATTCCAGTTTTTATGTTATATATGACAGCCAGTAAAAGCAAAAATACCGATTCTGATACTCTCCAATCCCATCTAAGCCCCGTGGTCCAGGAGCATTTCCAGAAGACCTTGTCGGTGAATGGTGTGTCGATTATGACAACAAACCTTTTCTTGGAAAGGCCACACAAGCGGATGAAGATGGGGTAGAGGTGTCAACCTTGCAACCCATCGGTAGTAACAAATTCGTATGGCCTGCATTCAAAGATGTCATTTGGTACGAGTATTCTAAAATAGTAACTATGATTCATGCACCAGAGAGAATAAGCTCTCGCAGAGAACTTTATCAGGTACCAAAGATTATGTGGACGGAATTAGCTAGATTGTTTCAATTTTATGATTAGTTCACTTTTATCTACATTTGTTGGGTAATTTTAGTTTTAAATACCTTAATGAATTACAATTTTGTATTGATTAGTTTTGTTTAAATAAAAGTAAATTCTTGTTAATGAGAATGTTTGTGTCCACATTATGATACTGATACAGTTTCGTAGTGCTCATTTACAAAATAGGCCTACGACATGTTTTTCTCAATAAAATTTTTGATTCAAAAATCAGATTTATATACAATGAGAAACAAAAAAGATTTTCTAGTATTGTGGATCAGATTGTTATGCAATTTGCAGTTAAGTTTTCATTTGCGCACCAAACGTATTTTGTGTGAATCATTCTGCTTCAACACCGTAACTCAACTTCAACACCGTAACGAATGCCTAAATTTTTCCTTAAGCTGCCCGATGCCCCTTTTCACATATATTTTACTTATATTATCATTGCCCTGCACTTATCCTCCCAGGTAAAGTTACTTTAATGGTGGTGGGAAAACGTCAAACGATCATATTGGGTTTAGAACATGGCAAAATATACGTAATGTAGAGATGACGCGTTGCAATAAGACATAATGCTAAATTTTAAACAAATGGAATAACAGATTTATACTTTAAAAGATTTGAAACAAGAAGTTCTACATTCTAAACTACTTTCGGCATGTTTTATTAACAAATGTCTTGTTTCGTTTTTAGTTTCGTTATGGTCTTGAGAATTTTTGACAGTTCTTGAACAAACAAGTCATATTTAAACATTAATATATCCATTAAAAAATGTGCACGAGCTATATATAATCAATAAAATGAAACATTTTGCGTCCAAACAAAATGATTTATTTCATAGTGCAAAGAACTTGATTTGTATTTTTCTGCAACATGCAAATTGCACATTAATGGGAGAATGACCCATATCTGATTTTAACCACTTTAATTTCATAACGACTGTTGATTTTATACAAGTTGCCTTTGGGAATAATTTGGGGGTGTAACCTGTATGAGAATTCATCACCGAATTTCGTCAAAATTAAAGAAACGGAAATTGTTTACGTCTTAAATGTTTCTTTAGATATTCTGTAAAATAATGAAAATTGGTTTGTTTCGATTTCTTTATGAACCCCTCATCTTGACCCATATTTCATAACCAACTCGACCACGGTTGCAACATGCGTAACCTATTTTCGTGTACAATGTATAGGGACTTTCTCCCTATTTTTTTTGTCTCTACACCAGCCGACATACGCTGTCCAAATAACTATCAGAGGATGAAACAGAGACTTTTGTTTGGTCTAGGCCACAAGTATAATGTGTTTTGTTCGTTGGAAAGAGGAAATTGTAATAAGATTCAAAACAGATTTTAAAAATATATAAATCAGGTCACTTGACAGAGCTCTTTAAATTCAATTTAGAAAGAGTATAAAATATTTGTAGTGTCGTAATATTGTGCATTACATTAAATAAAAAACTGCAGACGGGTAACGCAATGTAGTATGTAATGAAGGTGTCATTAACATATTATTGGAAATTTCCATATATGAATATGCAAACCAAAATTTACCAATCCATTAACAATTGTAGTGTGAAGAGTGAGCAAGAGATGAAAATCCTCAAATTCAGCACTTCACTGACAATCATTATGATAATGAACAGATATACAAATACATTTCATATACATACTATGAACATAATGTTAACATATAGAGTGAGAATTAAATTTCAACAGACGGGTGGAAAGTATCACAATATATATCCCAACTTACTGTTGGTGTTTTAAACTACGTCTTGAAAAAAAAAGTGCATATATGTGTTATGTATATGCCATTTATAGTCGGGCACATATCAATTCGTTTACATTTGAAAATTACACTACTGTTCTAATTCTCACAAAGTACATTCCAATGTGTATAGATTTTTATTACAAAGTCAAGGCTGTCTTAAATTGGATAACATGGGTATCTTTCTGCGACTGTGCCAAAAGAAATACCGGGGATCACAGAGAGTTCCGTAGCTGTGACATTATACAAGTAACACGTGCGATCAGCGTCACCAAAAACCATAGTGCGACATCTCGGGTTAGTGATGCAGCTGTCTTCACATAAATCCAGGGTCGATAACTTTGCCTCTATGATTGGAAATTCGAAGAAGAGACAGTCGCTATGAACCGGACGAAAAGCACCGGCTGTACACGTTGAATCTTGCTGACATTGAGATTCACAAACTTGTTGATTCGTAGAAGGAACGCTACGGGGTCCTTTAGTCAGAAATACATACTTTCGTGTTTGGCGTGGAATGTGAAAACATCCTGAAATAGAAAACATAATACAGCAAATTGTGTTTTCTCATCGAATAGTTCATGTATACGATTAAGACAGAAGTCTATAAGATATATTTTTAAATCGAAAAAAGGCCCGATCAGGTATTTAACCTAGCTTGGCGACATTCAAGGTCAATTTATAAACATAGAGTAGGAATATACATGTAGATGGAATACTGAAACAATTTCATATCAAAACAAAAAAGTAATTTAATTCTAATTAGATTGACACCTTTCAACCATGTACTTTGTGACGATTCCATAGCATCGTTTAGACCAACCATTAACTAAATGCTGTAGCAAGGTTTTAAAATTGTAGAAGGTTAATGACATTTGAAAGAATGTTAACTAATTTCTGTCATAGAGGAATGTATTATAGCACTATCAAAGATTAGGGTGGTTGAAAAGTAAGATGTTACTATCCAACAGAAGGTACTGGCCCAGGATTAAAGCAATTTTCACGAATGTTAAGGTTAATATGTTAAAATGGAAATTCGTACTGGTAGTCCAAAGACCTAAAAAGACAATAAAAAATTGATACTTTAAAGATGGGTTCCCTTATTTTCATTTACAAAAATGAAAATGCTAATACTTATATGAATAGAAAGAAGAGGTGTTCTAATGACTTGGAAAAATACCAGTTTGTCTCAGATGTCCATAATAATTAATTCATAATGAGCTAAATTAGAAGAGAATTACCAGCAGAATTCCAATGAGTGACCAATCAAGAAAGGTCAAAAAGTCTTTTTTTTTTGTTTTTCCAGACTGTACATACATGGACATTTATAATTGGTTAAAATTCTTAATTAAATGCAATAAGAATATAATGATATGATTAAGAATACATGATAATTCATTAGAAACACATATTAATCAAATAATTTGCTTAATTTGACAATAAAAAATAAGGAAACCCATCTTTAATTATGTACTGAAATCATAAATTGGTGATTTATTAAAAAAAAATTGAAATTAGCAAATGCCCTTTAAAATAAAATCAAATGCTAAATGTACTTAATAAAATTAGTGAAATAAATGAAATATAATAAAAAAAAAAAAACAATTTCAATGTCCCAACATTGCACTGAAATAAATGGTAATAATTAGTCAATGTAGGCCTAATGTAAATATTACAAGATTGAATCTATTCAATTAGATCAAGTCTACCACGAACAATATCATTAAGATTTTTATTTTTTGAGTACGCTGTGACTAGATTTTTTTTTATAAAACATGGTTGGAAATTCATTTTGCAAATCAGAATAATTACGTTTAACAACCCGAGAGACTTGGCATGAAGTACTGTTTTATTGCGCGACAAATGGTGTAATCTGTGAATAGTATTTGATATTTAAACCAGACGGAGAAACAGTTTGTAGTTTAATGATCCAAAAGTTCTCCTTGTATATTCTTGATGATTTGGGGTTGATATTTTCTTCCAAGATAACCAGTTCAATTGGTGTCATCACTAAGATTGTGGTTGGTGGAGTTACAATGATTTCCAATGGGTTTATCAAGACGATGGGTGATATCGAATCGGTGACCGTTTATTCGTTCTCTTAAAGAATTTTTCTGTCTCTGTTTTGGACATTTGTCAAAAGATATTAAATAAATTATGTTGGTACTAACGCACGAAAGTTGGTCGTTATCGAAAATTGTTTGCTGTTTATTTGATGGAGAAACTACCGGTTTTGGACATTTTTCGCAAGAAATTATGTCAATAATGTTTTTACTTACACACGAAGGTTGACCGTTTATCTAAAATTGTTATTTTATTGAAGAAATTACCGGTTAGTAAAATATGCTTGCAAGTTCTACATTTTGTAGAACCGCACGGCTTAGATCCGAAAGATTGATTATGTACCGAAACGCTATTAGATTTTCTTTGTTCAATTTCTGAAAGTGTTTTACTTGTAATGCTGTGAAGGTAGGAATATGCATTGTCGAAATGGAGAAATTAGGTCAATTTCACGTTCGAATTCTGACATAAAAATATTTGCATAGCTAGAAGCGAATCACTTTCCCATAGCTGTTCCAGATTTCTGAAGGTAAATTTTGCTGTTGAAAGAAAAATCATTTCGCTTTAAACATATTTCTAATAAATTTCAAATTTCTGAATTTCTTAAACCTGGAGGTACTTCGGCATAAAGTCTGTTTTTAGCTGATATCTGTGCTAAGGTGGAATTTTCTATGTTTCGTAGAAATCGTTTCGCTCTTTCAGTTTTGAGAAAACAATCGTACAGGCTTGGTTGAAATCAGAAGATCTTGTGCAAATTCGATGAAATCGTAAAACTTGTGACTTAATTATACCAGAAAAGGTATGTTTTGGGTGAAAGGAGCTCTTGTGCAAAAGTTGATAAGTATCTGTATCTTTGAAATACACTTTAATATCCAGTTTATTTGTTTCTGCTATGGAATCTCCCTTAAAGACAGTGGTATCGAGAAAGTCTATGCTTTTGTCACTCACGTTTGCGGTTAGTTTGATAGAAGGATGGTGGTTGTTGAGAATTTCAAAGAATTCCCAAAACTGTTCGATAGAATAAGTCCAAAACATAAAAATGTCATCCAAAAAGCGTCCGTAAAAAATTGGTCAAATGGACAGAGAGGCAACACCTCACGTTCCCACTCTGCCATGAAAAGGTTTGCGTACGAAGGGGCGAATCGTTTGCCCATTGCGGTCCCTGAAGTTTGTAAATATGTTTTACCATTAAATGTGAAATCGTTTCGACTCAGACAAATCTTTAAAAGCTGTAGAATTGCATCGTCGGGTCTGTTTGGATCTGGGTTTCTATTAAAAGTTTTACGAACTGCCGTTAAACCAATAGTGTTATCGATATTGGTATACATAGAAGAAACGTCGATAGAAATTAAAATAGCATTAGAGGGAACTCGAAGATTTGTTATTTTATTGACAAAATCGGTTGTGTCTTTAAGGTAGGTGCGATGTTGACATGCTAGAGGTAGTAAGAAATGATCAATGTATTGTGACACTGCATATGACTCACTACCACAGTCAGATATAATCGGGCGGGCCTGTAGGGATTTTATTCGAGATAAACCACTCCTTGGTTGGATTCTTATGGATTTTAGGCAAAGTGTACAAATGTCTCTCGCGACAATCAGGTTTGGCAGCCAGATAGTCATATTGTTTCTGTTTGAGATAAATAGTTTTGACTAAATCGGCAAGAATATTATTAATCATGTTAGCAGTTCCTTTGAAAATTGGTTTCGGTAAAATGGCATAATGTTTAGGATTATTCTGTTGATTCTCTGCTTCTGAAACGTAATCCTCCCTATTCAGAATGACACAACATGAACCTTTATCACTCTTTTTAATAACAATGCTATCGTCTTTCTTAAGTAAGTTTAACGCTTCACGTTCCACTCGTGTGAGATTAGGCTTTTCGTGTGTTATGGAAAGGTTCGCTGTTTGGCTATTCATACTCGCAAATGCTTTCAATATTTCAGGATGGCGGCCTGAGGGGGTGTCCACGTGGATTTAGGAATAAACATTCTTCTAGCACCACGTGGGGTGGTTTCGAAAAAAATATGTGCAGCTAAGATTTCGTTGAAATCGTTCAATGGAAGGTCGGAGATAATTTAACTTAGCTATCGTTGGTGTGGGAATAAACTTAAGTCCACGGTCTAAGATTGAATGCTGAAGGGGTGTGAGAATTTTGCGGCTCAAGTTAACTACAGTTTGGCCTAGCGGTGGCCTTTCAGTATTTTTAACTCCAGTAATTAGTTTAAAGTAAAAAGTTTAAAGTGGTAAGATTGTTGCGCTGTTGATACTGGACTCCATCATCATGTTGTTGAGGGTGCTGATGTTCTGTTGTGCTTTCTTCGAGATTTTATTTGAAATGGGTATACATGTGAAGAGGATCTTGGAGTTTGGGAAGGTTTTGTTGGCTGTAGCGATTAATTTCTGGGCTTGGTTAAAGGAGGTCTTTGGTAGCTGATCACGGTTGTTGAGGCCTACATGAAGAATAATGATAGTAGGTTTGGGATCATGGTCGTATGATTCCAGGGTTGACTGTATGTGATGGATTTGGGCACCGGGGTAAGAATGTATTTCAGTGTCTGAACTGGTTTTGGTAATTCAGGTGATTCAGGTTAGATGATCCAATAATTAAGGTAGATTTTTTTTTTTAGAGC